TTTAATTGTCACATATAAACAAAGGATAAATGTACTATTTGTACAGCACTCCCTTCATGTTGAACCTACAGAGAATGATTGTCTGTGTTAGGTTTTCTTTAAAGCTCAGTGTCAAAATGTAGACACAAACAAAATAAAATGGAATGGTAAAAGAAACTGTAGATTAATTAGCTTTACAGAGGATAGCAAAAGTCTCGCAAAAGTCCCTTTAAATACTGAGGAAAAAATGCTCCAATGATTCCTCTATCTTTTCCTGTAGCATATGAAACACTGGAAAAATCCTTATGAAGGGAAAGGAGATGATGCTGTCGATTCAAAACGACACAAATGCCCACTGTTCACGAAAATATCAACAGATTGACAGAAGTATCAATTGAGGGATGTGCCAGAACTTGTGATCATAAGCAGATATCCTTGTAAACTTTCAAAAGCTCACAGGCAAACTATGAATGTTACACTACTTAAAATTCACAATCTACTCGTTATGAAGTTGTTTCGTTGTGTGAAGCGCTTTGGGTTTACACAAGTGCTCTCTAAATAAAAATAATTCAAAACACAACTAAATGAATGCTAATGTTTGCCGTAGGTATAATAGGTGAAAATATATCAGAGCTGTTGTTTTAATTGTGTGTTAACCAAAAATATACCTGAATGTGCTTCTACAGCTACTGATGATGCACCGGATGTGGAGAAGGAGGTCTGCATCAAGGAGGAATATCAATACTACTTTGAGAATGACAGCCTGTCTTTTAGAGGCGTAATCGACACAGAGAAGTGCTCAAGGTAAACCTTAAAAACCCGTCCCAGTTACACAATAGGCACTTGCTGTGCTACACTGACAGAGAATAATATCTGTAAAATACCTGACGTGGGCCTAAAACATTTCAAAACATTTGCATGCCATAAAAGTGAAGTCAAGTCACTTGGCATTTTCATGTGTGATTTGTGCATGGGCATGTGTGGTGTTTTAAGGTCCCCTCTTGCCGGCTAATGGAGTGCCTGCCTGCCTGCCTGCGTGCCATGTGGAATTCCTGCACTTTAGCTGCACACACGTTTCTTTTTAACGACCACTATAAAAAAAATAAAATAAAAAAGCGGAGCAAATCATTTGAGCACCAGCAACATGTGGGTCTCAGTAAAGTTCTCGAAGGACAGCGGCATGGTAAGGCAGGTTTGTGCGTCCTTATGAACATAGTTGACAAACTTGACTGAGTAATCCACTGTGTGTGCAGACCAATAGCTGACTACTTTTGTGGAAAAGAGATGAGAATTACTTCTGAATCTTCACTTCACTGCTTTCTGGTTAAACATTCAACTTCCTGTATCTCTTGTGAGCATGTTTGAATGAAATCATATCTTTCCTGGACTCAAGCCCACGTGTCAACAACTGCTTTTGTGTCTCTTGTGTGTCTTCCCTTCTCCAGGCTCTATCACGCCGAAAGGCTGCCCAAGACGAACCTCGTCTTCATCGTTGCAGAAACAGAACATGGATGTGAATGTCAGGAAAAGATATTAAAGCAGGAAGAACAGGAGTGTATCCTTTTACTAAACACCAGCTATAATCTGGTAGACAGTGTGTACACTTGACTCAGGGAACAGATGTTCATAAAGTTTGTGCTTTGGAGAACATAGGCGCTGATTATGACTGATATTTTTCACCACTCGCCATTTAAAGAGGACTTGTGGTAAACAACTGAATGTTCATTCTCCAAGCTTCTGTAAAAGGGTTGTTTTCCATTATCGACAGCAGTTACCATGGAGTATTTCCCTCATTTGTGTCTTTTAGAATCCCACACCCACAAAAATGATCCTCTCCGCCATAACTGACTTTTACAAATTGGCCCAGAATGAGAGACTTGTAATGCTTGGGTTTCTAAGTCTGTATGGCAGATGGTTTTGTGGGATAAGTCTGAATAGCTTACAAACAAATCAATGATGTTCTCGCAAATACACAGAGCTGTGATCAATTAGAGGTAAAGCCTCTCGGAAAACACCATTGTAGAACATGATGGCTGTGTCATTGCAGTATTAAGCAACGTATTCCAACTTGTGGCTTTGTTTAGTAATCAAGATGTATGATTTAACACTATTCCAGCTGTACGTAAAAACTGTGTCTTCTGAACAAAGCACTATTTGTTGCTGCTATTACTAATGCAGAATCAATCAGAAGTTGTCATGTTCCTGACTTCAGTAATCCAGCACAAGGGCCTGATCCTTGTCAATTGGCTTCTGAGCCGCGGTACAGGAAGGGACCTGCAGCTTGTTTTGATAACAATAGTCATGTAAGTGCCTTTAATCAGACTTGGATGATGTTTTCCCCTTTTTTTAAAAATTGGTTGGTTGTTCTGTGCTAGTTTATCATCTCCAGTCTGCAAAGACCTTTTGTCTGGCTTTCCGGTGAATGGAAGGCAAATATTTTTTCTCTGTTTATCTTCTAAGGAAGATATTTGGATTCTTTGTTGGGTTCTCTCTGGGGTACTCTGGCTTTCTCCCTTAGCCTCAGACATGTACTTAGTGGGGTTAGATTAATTGGTGATTAAAATTGCCCATAGGTACGACTGTGGGTTTGAATGATTGTCTGCCTCTCTATGTTAGCCCTGCGACAGACTGGCAACCTATCCAGGGTGTAATCCGGTTCTCGCCCTATCATAACTGGGATAGGCTCCAGATCCCCGTGACCCTGATAAAGATGAGCAGAAGAGAATAGATAAATGGATGGACTGATAACAGCAGACTTTTTCAGAGAAGATCTGAAACACTCAATGACATTTAACTAGATATACAACCAACAAGCCTTTACTGAGTGTAGTTATACTGGAAAGAAAGACCATTGCAAAGCTTTTTGTACCATGCACTCACCAGGCACTTTAATAGGTACACCTCTGCTCAATAATGCAAAAGCGAAGCAGCAACTCAATGCATTGAGTCACATAGACATGATAAAGATGACCTGCCGAAGTTCAAACTGAGCATCAGAAAGGACAAGAAACTTGAGTTTGCCTTTGAATGTGTCTTTGAACGTGACAGTTGTTCATTCTAGTATTTCAGAGTATTTCGGAACTGCTGAGGATTTTCCCACAAACTAGGTTTGCAGAAAATGGTCCAAAAACAGTCTAAAATACCCAGTGATTAACAGTTGTTTAGATTAAGATGCTTGTGTTGATGCATGAGGTGAGAAGAGATTGGCCAGACTGCTTTGAGCTGATTTTAAGACAACGGTAACTCGTTACAACCATGGTATGTAGAAGAGCATCCTAACACATTGAACCTTGAAGCACTTGGGCTACAGCTGCAGAAGACTGCAATCATGTCAGCTAATAACAGGAAACTGAGGCTGCAATTTACATTGCCTCACCAAAATTGGACAATAACAGATTAGAAAAATGTTGCTTGGTCTGATGAGTCACGATTCCTCCTGTGACATTCAGATGGCTGGCTCAGAATTTGGGATAAACAACACTGAGGCACTGATCCTGCCTTGTTCAACCTTTAAGAAAATTTTGCGTTGTTTATTCACTTTATGACTACAGTGTACCCATCCTCTGATTATTGATAACGCACCATGTAACAAGGTTCAAATCGCCTCAGACTGGTTTCGTGAACATGACAATGACCTCTACAGTCACCAGATCTCAATTCAACGAACTCCTTTGGAATGAGGTGGAACAGGATATTGGCATTGTGGATATGCAGGAAATGTGCGATACTATCATGTCTATATCCTCCAAAATCTGTGAGAAATTTCTCCAGCACTCTATTGAATCTTTGGCATGAAGAAGTAAGAAATAGCCATGAAGGCAAAAAGGGTTCCAAGCCGGTACGACATTAGTAAGGTGTACCTAATAAAGTGTCCAGGGAGTGTAATTTTAAGTTCTCATGATTCAAGCCTGTTCTCAAAATGCCTTTTTTACTGTGCGAAAAAACATTTTAGCGTTTTTTATTATTAGAGTAAGAAGCACCAACACCAACATAATAGAAGCCAATTAAGGAGAGACCAGAGTCATTTTGGTCACAAACACAAGTCACTTCCTCAAATTCCTTAAGACTCTCTCCCAGTATGGGAACAATGTATCAGTGCTGCACCCATGGCACCTTTCCATAACTAATATCTTTACATCGTGCATGCCACTTCTCTTTTGGATTCTTTTGTCTTTTGTGAAATCCCTCAAAAGCTGTATGTGCGTAGGTTTCCCATGCAAAGATAAACAGTCGGTTGTTTCTTAATTTATGAATAACTAAGCTAAACAAACATTTTTATGAGCAGCACAGAATCTTTGCGTGTGAAACCCCTGTGCTTGAGTGCTTTGTTTGTTTTCACTCTATAGTCTTTTTCCAGCGTCAAAGTTTTAAAAATGAACTCTTCTGCCTGCACTGTTGCTCACTTACACACACATATGCAAACACCCACCCATCCACCCACACACTAACTTTCTCTCACACTTGTCTCTGAAAGGAATGCATCTGCCTTGTACTACTGTTTGTGTATGTAACCTAATTATTTCTTCCTTTTCTGCTCATATTTCCTTTCTAACCTGCTAACTATATGGACCCTTTGCTGCATGATTCTCTTTCTCTCTGTTTTCTCTGTTTCCCGCCTTATGATTGGCTGTTGATGGTTAGGATGAGGTCATGTGCCGAAGGAGCGCAGGCTCCCCATTGGCTTCTTCTCTGCTCATGTTACTGCTGCCACTGTTCATGTGCTGTCTCGGGTCAGTCCCATAACGCTCACTCTCTCTCGTTAACACTTTGTCATTATTTTCGAATGCTTGATCTTGTTCGTAACTCTTGCTTCTTTTTCCCTTGATGTTTCAAGTCTTGTCTCCTCCCCCATTTTCATGTCCCTGCTTTGTTCCACTATTGTATCTTTTTCCATTGCTTTTCCACACATTTTCTCACCTGCTTCTCCTTCTTATTTTATATCACCATCTGACTTCACCTTCCCAACTTACATCCCTGTCCTTAACTGACTTTGAACTTCAAGCCATTCTCTTTGTATTATTCCCCATCAATCATTATCTGTCTTCAAATGTCTACTGGTTACTGATGTATCCCGATGCTAGCAAAAACAGACCGCTCACCTATCATCTACATCTAGATTTTATTTTCTTTTGCCAAAAAATATCAGGGGAATTCATTTATCCAAAGTTTTCCAGTCAAGTATGAAAAAACAACCTGATTCTGTTTCATATTTTGTGACCACATGTTTGATACCTGCATAGCTCATTTAGGGCGCTTTCTACGCTTCATTGTCCTTTGTTACTTCTGTTGTACAGTTGTAAGAAACCTGCGACTGTCAAGCTTCCCACTGTCACATTGCACATACATTTAAGTGAAGCCAGAGGTAGAAAAATACAGGATTTAGTCTGCAAAAGGAAATGTGACCTGCCACAGTGCTGTGAAAAAGTCATGAGCCACCCCTCATTTATATTTTGCAAGGACAAGGGAAATGGGTACAGTGATTTATTGAAACAGGTGCAAACATAAATGGAAATTAATGAAATTAAATGGAGTTTGGCAATTCATGAAAGTCGTTATTGCCGCCGTTATTCTTAGCCCGAACCCTCTGAGGCAGCTTCTTGGAATTTCTGAAGTAGTCTTCAGAAACACTTCTCCAGACTTCTTGATGAACATTCAAATATCTTCTTTGGATCGTGCCTCCCTTTTGTTCAAGAAGTCAAGATGATCCTACCCTGCAGAGCTCCGGACTCTGGGGAGGTCAGTTCCTGACTGATAGTGTTCCATTGCGTGGTTTTCTAGTCAGGTATGCTTTTACTGTACTGCCGATGAGTTCAGGATCATTGTCCCGCAGACAAATGAAGCTGTTCCCAATGAGGCACTTTATATATGACGTTGTATGAAGCATTTATGATTCCATCAGTTTTGATACGATTCCTAAGACTACTGGCAAAAGTGCAACTCTAAACCATGACAGACCAACTGCAGCGTGTTTTACGCATGTCTGTCAACACTCACTGTTATACCCTCTCCTGACCTCTGAATGTATTGATGACACTTTGAGCAACAAATGGATTCGGCACTCCTTAAGACCTTTTTCAGTCCAGTTCTTGTGTACTTTACCATACCTTACCTGGATCAACTGAATGTTCGCATTTTTTTTCTATTTCTTAAGAAGATAACTTTAAGATATTTTTTAGTTAGTAGCTCTTTGGGAACCAACTTGTTGGTACAGCATGCCGTAACAAACAGCCTAAAGATACAATTTCAAAATGGTTACTTGCTAAGTGGTGTTTTGTGTAGACACAATGCTGCCCCATCCCTTGCGTTGGGTCCCTTTTTGAAGCTTGAATAACTCATAGTCTGTGTTAGAAAAATCAGCCAACGTTCGAAGACCTTCAGAAAAGCTCATTAACTATTGCTTGAGACCACTTACAAAAATTACAGGAAAGCCTAGCTGCTCTCTGCAAAAGATAAATTAAAATAGGGCTGGCTCAAAACCTTTCATAGTACTGAAAAAAGAAGTGACATCATCAGATTCAACCTGTTAGATAATGAAGCTCACACATTTTTTTTTTTTATAAAAAAATGCTACGAAAAATAGAAAAACAGATGTAGATATGCTCAGCTGTCTGTTTAGCTTATGTATTTCTTTTCTTTATTCCCAAACACAACATTAGGAAGTAAAGCTCAGTTACTACTACTGTACTGGTCACACAGCAGTTATTTTTCAAAGCAACTGCACTCAAGGCAGTCTTTAGGTCCTTTTCAAGGGAAGCCATAAATATGTAAAAAGACATTCTGATAAACCTATCTTAGAGTTTTATATAACTAAAGGCACAAGCAGCAGGGTAGTGAAATAATATTTTTAAGAGAAATACAGTGTTTATTTTTCTTCATCTGGTTGACTCAGCATATAACTGTCTATAAACATCATTTCTCCTTTTAAGCTTAAGTTACAGAATTCCTATTGGTGTATATTTCAGATTCAGTTTATTCAGAAAAATAAAGTATTATAAGAGTATGTACTTGTAATATATGTAAATGTTTTAGTGACTTTTTTCTGTTACAAAAAGAGCAAAAGCAATGGAAAAGTTGTTGGTGGACTGCTGATATATAGATATAGAGAGATAGATATAGATAGATAGATAGAGATAGATAGAGATATAGAGAGATAGAGATATAGATATATAATCTATATAGATAGACAAATAAATGTATTCTCTGTAACAAATACTAACTTTAGTTTCTTATTTCTCTGCTTGCCACTAGGAAGATAACGCTGACTGTGGCGGAGTGTCCGGCCTGACTCCGTCGCTGTGGCTAGTGTTGTCCCTTCAACTGCTACTGGTCTGGGTTGTGACTGACACCAGACACCATGCCATCCCATCATGACCTCCGAATAACATATTCCAACCCTGTATCTCCACCCCTTCGTATCTCCAACATGGCAACCAGCATGCAGCGCTGCCACCAAAATGATGAGCGCCCGATGAAAAGCGCTTTAAACAGACAAAAAAAACGTGAGCCCCGCGTTCTGCCAGTTTCTTTTGTATTATCAGCGGTTTCTCTTAAGGATTTCAC